TTAACTTCTCCCTGTTATCTCTTTGCTGTGCTGTTATATAATATAATATATCTAGTTACATCTTTTCTGTAAATATTATTATTGCACATGTTTGACCCTTTTAGTAATAAAATCTGTCTTCTGAACGTGTTGAACTGTTCCTATAGCTCTTAATTGCAATTCACGAATCCCTGCCTTTGAAGAGATGCGACTGTTTGTTTTAACCTCTGTATAACCGGTCTGCAGACCGTTTTATACAGACAATTATTTCAATCATTATAGTGTATTAGCTGAACCCCCGAGTTTCCTCTTTCCTCTGATAAAAAGGAGGTGGTGGCAATGAAAATGGTTAATTGAGAGTGATTAACCTGACCCAGTAACAAGCCTATGAGGCCTGCAGGCACAGATTGTAGTCCATTAGCTGGAAAATCGTAGTGCAGGTGCAGCTGGTGTGGCAGTGTTTACGCACGTCACATAGTGGTTTTTAGATCGGCCAGTCCTTCGGTCACGAGTTTTGGTGAGAAGATTCTGGGGTGTGACAGCCGCGATCAATGACATATTGGACGTACGCGGTCATGCGATTCATCGCATGTTGAGGGTGGCGATCATGCGATCCTTGACAATAGACCGCCAAGTTCTAATCCTTTAATATTTGTGTTAGTTCTTATCAGCTGTTGCTAAAGGTTAATTCGCTAGAAAAAAAAAGGAGGGGGCAAGGGGCAGGCCTTGCCTCATACCCCTTGTGTGGAAGAAAAGGTCTGACTTGTAACCCCCGTACCTTAAGTAAGCCCCTTGGGAGGTGTAAAGGGTGATATCCATTGGAGTCAAAGGCTTTTTTATGTCTAAGGAAAGGAAAACAGCCGGAATGCGGCGTATGCAAGCTGCATGTTCTAGCAAAATCACTCTGTGGTCTCGGCTTGCAGAGGGCGGTTTAAAACCCATCTGATCCTTTGTACCAAGGTGCCTATGATAGAGTTCAGCCATGCAGATAGGATTTTTCTAGGATTTTAACATGTAAAGTTAAGAAGGGAGATTGGTGTGTAATGAAGCCATGTGGTGTGATCTGATTGGGGTTCAGGTAGCATAGAAATGACTGCTGTTAGGAAAGCGTCTGAGCAGAAAGAAAAACCTTTGAGTAAGGCATTAAATGCATTAACCAATAAAGGTGGAAGGAGGTTAGTAAATATTTTGGAATATAGGGCTGTAAAGCTGTCTGGGCCAGGCCGCTTATTAGACTTTTAGGGACTTGATGGAGTTCGGGACCTCAAGTTCCTGTAATAGGTGTTTTTCCAGGGAAGAACACTGAGAAGCTGAGAGTGTTGGTAGAGATAGCTTTGAAGAAAAGTTCAGTGCCTGCGATTCATCATAGGAGCCGGTCTCAGAGTATAATTCTGCTAGATGTTTGTGGAAGACCTGTAATATTTTATTAGGATGGCTGGTGTGTGAAGTTTTTGTAATCTTTTAAATGGACAAGTCTGTGTGTGTGGTCTGAGGTTCGCAGTCCCAGGGCTAGAAAAAGTGTCAGGTTTGTTTGCGTTCATATAATGTTTATGTCTGGATTGGCGAGTAGAACTTTTTTCATCTGATTCTGTCAAGAAAACATCTATTTCTAGCCTGGTCTTGTCACAGGGACAATCTATGAGAAGGTGAGGGCTCTGATTGGAAGGCTTTGCGTTGGCCTGGTGAAATGAGGTTTCTAAGCGGTGAATGGCTTGCTCGCTGTCCTATTCTTGAGATGTGAGGCTTGGCTTGATACAGGCTCCTCTAATTGCAGAGTTATGGCTTCCCAAAAGGTCCAAAGAGAGAGATGTCATCATTGTGTTATGTGTCAGGTATTCTTTGATGGCTAGTTCAATGTCCAGTCTGTGTGGGATGGGTGGGCCATTTAGACTCCATGTAGTGCTAGTTTGTTGGGTACTAAGGAGGAGAGGGTGCAAGAGGACAGCTTTGTGACCAGTCCAGGGGTAAGGTATGATGGTTCAGGATAGGAGGGCTGGGGACATACCTCTAGTCCCAGAAATATATGGGGTCAATGTGGAGAAAGTTTTATGTGGAATATGAGTAGTATGGTATAGTGTCTTCTAGCTGGGTTATCTTCTTGCCATGTGTCTATGAGAGAGCGTTGTTGGAGTTGTTTGCTGGAAGGAGGGATGTGGATGGATAAGAGTTATGGGGGATTTGTCTAAAAAGGAATAAACTAGCCGATTGGAATTGCCACATAGTAAAAGTGTACCTAATTTATGGGAATCTATTACTTGTAGCAAATGGGAGTTAGGATTGGGATTGCTGCATAGTATGAAGCTATAGTGACCTCTGAGTCAAGGGAGTGACCCACTAGAAAATATAACGGCTCTCTGGGGTCCCCAGATCCCTGCCTTGGGTGTAAAGGGAGTAGAGCAGTGAAAGCTTTGAATACACCCTGTACGTTTACTTGTGGCAAGAAGCCATTATAAACCTGTGGGTAGGAAGATCTGAGATATTTCTGCATATGGCTTGGCAGTGAAATGAGTCTCTTATGCAGGCACACCACATCTTGTGCTTTTAGGCAGGGGCAAAGGTATTTGAAGGCCTTATTTTTTTATTCCCTGAATCATTCAGGTAAGTATATTTATTGAGCCATGATAAAGGACCTAGATGCAAAGCTGATTGTTAGGTGTGGCATCATGGCGCCATCATCACTCCTCGGACAGGAATAAGAGAAAGAAAGGGGAGAAAAGAGGGGGAATGCAAGGTTAGTTAAAGAGAGAAATGTCTGACAAAACAGGTCGGGAGGTGCAAAAGGCCAAATGTGAAAACAGGTAGGTTGTCCATCTGTCTATGTCACTGGATATAAATGGACTGGGAAAAAAAAACAGTCCCTGGGGCAGGCCAACTCAGGCTACCAAGGAAAATGTGGGGGGGAGCAGTGAACATCTTCAGAAGCCACAGAGGCCAAAAAACAAGATATTAAAAGATCTGTTGTATAGAGGAGTCAGGCCAAGGATAGACAATTGGGAATAAGCAAGATGTCAGCCTGCAGATATAAGCAGTTGGTAAGTGTATGCATTGTTCAAAAGAGGCAGCTATGCTTGGCTGGGTATCATGGGCATATACACAGCATTAAGACCACAGCTGGATGAAAGGGGGTGATCCGTTTGTTATTTTGTTGGTCCAGCTATTAGTAGAAAAGGGGCGAGGTTTAGCTAACAGCATCATGCGGTTAGTTGCAAAAATTGTAGAATTATACTAAATATATTTTTTGGATGTTTACAAAAAACATTTTTATTTTTTAAGAAATAGACTTCAAAATGGCAATGGAAACCTACCCGCCCTGCAAAACATCATTGAAATAATGACATCAAAGAGGAGCCAATGTAGGAGTAAAATGTTTATAATAACTGGCCGTGAAACCCATCAGGGCCGGTGCTGTGGAAGTTCTGAGTGCGCTAATAACACAGGATATTTTATCCTTCAAAGTGCATGGGCATTGAGAGAGGATATCTGAGAGTGGTGAGAGAACAGGGAGGGGTATAGAATCAAGCCATGAGCCATTTGAGGAAGCAGAAGTTGGTTGCAGGGGAGCTAATAGGGTGGGAATAAAAATTTAAAAAAATACCCAGGACTTCACGAGGAAGAGAGGAGATACTGCTGGATTTTAGTACGTAACTTGTAGATATGTGGGGGTCGTATTGAAAGGTTTAATTTCTGTGCCAACATAGTAGAACCCTGAATTACTATGTAATAAAAAGGAGGCCTTCAACCAAAGTAGAGCTTTTTCAGTTTTCTGGGAAAGTAAAGTATTCAGTTCTAGACGCTTTTGCGATATCATGGTTTGTTACGGAGAGATGGATTGCCATCATGAGCCCTATAATGTGATTCTAATTCTCGGGTAAGTTTCTGAATTTGTTTCCATCGCTCTCTATTTCTAGAAGAAGCCATAGAAATAAGGTACCTCGCAGGACTGCCTTATGGGCTACCCACAAGATGGCCGGGGAGATATCAGGAGTTGTGTTTGACTGAAAGTATTCTTGAATGGAAGTAACTACTTCATGGCGGGTGTTAGTAATCCGTAAGCATAGAGTCGTTAAGTCTCCAGGAGTAGGGAGTAGGGGCTAGACCTATAAAAGTGATAGACAGAGCGATAATATTATGATCTGACCAGGGGCTTAAATGAATGCAAGCTTTCCTAGAGTTAGCCAGCAGAATGGGGGAGCAATAGATAATAATCTAGTCTAGCATAAGAGTCATGTGGGTGGGAGTAAAAATGAATAATCTCTAGCTCCTACATTATGTGCCCTCCAGGAGTCTACCAGTTGAAGGGTGTCTAATTTTTTGGTAAGGGATTTTGGAAGGCTTGGGAGGATGGTGAGGACGAGCTTTTGGTCTAAAAGGGGGTTAGCCACCAAATAAAATCACCTCCCACCAATAATGCTAGATGGTGATCGGTATGTACAGGAGAGGAGTGAGGGGTTATGACAGTGATCGGTACGTACAGGAGAGGAGTACGGAGGTATGACAGTGATCGGTACGTAACAGGAGAGGAGTACGGAGGTATGACAGTGATCGGATATGTACAGGAGAGGAGTACGGAGGTGTGACAGTGATCGGTATGTACAGGAGAGGAGTACGGAGGTATGACAGTGATGGGTATGTACAGGAGAGGAGTACGGAGGTGTGACAGTGATGGGTACGTACAGGAGAGGAGTACGGAGGTGTGACAGTGATGGGGTAACGTACAGGAGAGGAGGTACGGAGGTGTGACAGTGATGTGTACGTACAGGAGAGGAGTATGGGGGGGTATGAAAGTGATTGGTACGTACAGGAGAGGAGTGTGGAGGTATGACAGTGATGGGTATGTACAGGAGAGGAGTGTGGAGGTATGACAGTGATGGGTATGTACAGGAGAGGAGAGTGGCGGTATGACAGTGATCGGTATGTATAGGAGAGGAGTACGGAGGTATGACAGTGATGGTAAATGTACAGAGAGGAGTACGGAGGTATGACAGAGATGGGTATGTACAGGAGAGGAGTACGGAGGTATGACAGTGATGGGTATGTACAGGAGAGGAGTACGAGGTATGACAGTGATGGGTACGTACAGGAGAGGAGTACGGAGGTATGACAGTGATCAGTATGTACAGGAGAGGAGTACGGGGGTATGACAGTGATTGGTATGTACAGGAGAGGAGTACGGAGGTATGACAGTGATGGGTATGTACAGGAGAGGAGTTACGGAGGTATGACAGTGATCGGTACTTACAGGAGAGGAGTACGGAGGTATGACAGTGATGGGTATGTACAGGAGAGGAGTACGGAGGTATGACAGTGATGGGTATGTACAGGAGAGGAGTACGGAGGTATGACAGTGATGGGTATGTACAGGAGAGGAGTACGGAGGTATGACAGTGATGGGTATCTCTGGACCTGAATTACCCCCGTGTGCTCTGACATGGAGAAAGATCCTATGGTGGCCGTATGTTTAGGATGGAGACCGACAATCACAGGACCGTCTGGAAGCCGATCTAAAATGGCTGAGAGGAGGAAAGTGTTCCCGGGACAGGAAGTGACACAGACAGGAAGTGACACAACAGGAAGTGACTCCAGACAGATTTATACAGAGGTGCAGTATGGAGAGCAGACACTAGATGGTGCTGGTCCAAAAAAAGCTGAATAGCATAAAAACAACAGAGAAAAAAAAACTGAAAAAACAAAAGATGATGGCGGCTCGTAAACTTCTATTATCACATTACAGTGGATTAGATCTCCCTCCATTTTGTTGTAGCCCCCACCTGTCCCTCCTTCTTCGGCCATTTTCCCTTAGTCAAATATGAATGTACATTTATCACATATTACAGTGCAGTGGATTAGATCTTTGTCCTCCATTTTTTTGTAGCCCGCCTGTCCCTCCTCCGGCGGCCATTTTTCCTTTAGTCTGATATGAATGCTGGCACATTTTGTGTCCCTGATATCAGACATTAGCCGGGTGATTGTATACACACAGCGGGCAGATCTCAATCAATGTCACCCACTAGTCTATACTGTCACGGGTTTGGCCAGCCAATCATGTGGCTCCTATTCTGTCCTTCCAATGACCATTCCTAGTACATAGGACTCATCTCCATACTACATTCATGATACAACAAGATGGAAACTCCCAATATACAGAGAAAATCTCCCATAAAATACATAGAAATCACATCTGCCCTAAAGGGCCATAAACATAAGAAGATTGCCCCCGACGCCCCCAGATTCATCTACAATACTAGTCAAGGTGTCATTGGTCCCCCTAATACACGGATAGTACCCCAATCCTGCATTCATACATGTGACAATACACCATGGATTCCTCCCGCTCTATATTATGTCTCCATACAAATCAGTCGCCATCCAATCCATCCATCTCACAAAAGCTCCAATACCCAGCAAATGTTTCCGTCTCCTCCTAGTAATAACCATGTGATCTCCATGAGAATAAAGCGCCAATTTGTGTCCTTATCCCCTCCCCCTACGCAGGATGTACACCCCTTCATGGCCACGCCTCTTTATGTAACTGACAATTGTGCGGCAACGCTCGTGCAAACGCTGCAAACAACCCTAAATAAATATCCGTCCTTTCTTCACACAAATAGAGCTTTCTGTCGGTGGGATGTCATCACCTGCGCGCTTTTTATTTTCACACCATAAACAAAAAAAACAGAAAATTTTGAAGAAAAACGATATTTTGTACTTTCAGCTATAAAATATATAAAAGTAACCTCAAAGTTAGTTATAAATTTCACCAAAATGTCTCCCGCTCCATGTTTATGGGAAAAGGACCCCAATAAGTGGATATTGATTGCTGTGTGTGACCGTTATATCGTCTGCAGACTATGGGGAGATCATGGGGTGTACACAGCTTGTACTTCTCACTGCACTGCACAGCACATTTCTGGGGGGCTAAGACACCAGGACACCCCCAATACCAGGACACCCCCAATACCAGGACAGGACACCCCCAATACCAGGACACCCCCAATACCAGGACACCCCCAATACCAGGACACCCCCAAATACCAGGACACCCCCAATACCAGGACACCCCCCAATACCAGGACAGGACACACCCCCCACCAGGACAGGACACCCACAAATACCAGGACACCCCCAATACCAGGAGGACACCCCCAATACCAGGACACCCCCAAATACCAGGACCCCCCAATACCAGGACACCCCCAAATACCAGGACACCCTCAATACCAGGACAGGACACCCCCAAATACCAGGACACCCCCAATACCAGGACACCCCCAATACCAGGACAGGACACCCCCAAATACCAGGACACCCCCAATACCAGGACACACCCCCAAATACCAGGACACCCCAAAAATAGCAGGACACCCCCAAATACCAGGACACCCCCAATACCGGGACACCCCCAATACCGGACAAATAACAGACACCCCCAAATACCAGGACACCCCAAATACCAGGACACCCCCAATACCAGGACACCCCCAATACCAGGACACCCCCAAATACCAGGACACCCCCAATACCAGGACACCCCCAAACCCACGACACCCCCAAATACCAGGACACCCCCAAATACCACGACACCCCCCCAATACCAGGACACCCCCCAAATATCAGGACACCCCCAAATACCAGGACACCCAAATACCAGAACAGGACACCCCCAAATACCGGGACACCCCGAAATACCCAGGACACCCCCAATACCAGGACACCCCCAAATACCAGGACAGAACAAACACCCCCAAATACCAGGATGGGACACCCCCAAAATACCAGGATAGTACAAACACCCCCAAATACCAGGACAGGACAATCCCCCCAAATACCAGGACAGTACAAACACCCCCAAATACCAGGACAGGACAATCCCCCCAAATACCAGGACAGGACAAACACCCCCAAATACCAGGACAGCACAAACACCCCCAAATACCAGGACAGGACAAACACCCCCCCAAACCAGGACCAAATACTTGTAACACAAGCCTCCAGTTGTTACCACTCCCCCCTCACAGATGTTCTTAGAGTCATGTAAATGAATCCTGGCATGAATCTGTAGGGAGAAGGGCTCAATGAGGGGAGGTTACAAGGGCCTCATCATAGAGGGGGAGGGGAGAAGGGTGGGGTCAATGAGGGGAGGGGAGAAGGGCGGGGTCAATGAGGGGAGGGGAGAAGGGTGGGGTCAATGAGCAGAGGCTTTTTAAGCTGAAAGAGAGCTTGATTCTGGGGCCAATTCAGCTCACACTGGACAAAGGGGCCACACAGGCAGAGGAGAGGAACCTGACCAGAGGAGAGTCATCAGAGAGGAGCTCCACATCCAGACAGACCAGGACACCATCAGCCAGGTATTCATCCCCCAATTCACCCCACTACTCCCTGTCCCTTCCCCTCTCCCCCCCCCCACTGTTCTTCATCCCCCTCTGCACCCCTCTGCTCTTCATCATCCCCCTTCCCCCCCCCCCCCCCCCACTGTTCTTCATCCACCCCTCTGCCCCCCCCCACTGCTCCTCATCCACCCCTCTGTCCCCCCCCTCACTGCTCTCATCCACCCCCTCTGTCCCCCCCCCTCACCCCCCCCTCTGCTCCCCCCCTCCTCATCCACCTCTGTCCCCCCCCCCACTGCTCTTCATCCACCCCTCTGTTCCCCCCCCCCGCTGCTCTTCATCCACCCCTCTGTCCCCCCCCCTGCTGCTCTTCATCCACCCCTCTGTCCCCCCCCCCCCCCGCTGCTCTTCATCCACCCCGTCTGTCCGTCCCCCCCTCGCTGCTCTTCATCCACCCGTCTGTCCCCCCCCCCTCGCTGCTCTTCATCCACCCGTCTGTCCCCCACCCCCTGCTCTCTCATCCACCCGTCTGTCCCCCTGTCCTTCCCCTCCATCCCCCTCACTGCACCACATCCACCCCCTTGTCCTCCCGTGTCCCCCCCCCCACTGCCCCCTCTTTCCCCCCCACTGCTCCTTGTCCACTCCTCTGCCTCCCCCCCTGTTTACCAACTGCCCCCCCTCTAACTCCAATTGTCCATCCCTATGTTCCCCCCATTGCTCCTCTGTGTCCCCCATTGACCCTCTGTCCCCCAACTGCTCCTCGTCCACCTCTCTATCCCCTCCATCCACCCCCCAGTCCACCTCTCTATCTCCCCACTGCCTCCCTGTCCTCCCTTCTGCCCCCCCCCCCCCCCCCACTGCCCCCCTGTCCACCCCTCTATCCACCTATTGCCCCATTTCCAGCTTTGCTCTGTGTATTCAGAATTCCCCGCCATGTCATGCCTCTTTCTATGCTTTCAGATAAAGATGACACAGTTGATAACTTTTATGGGGCTCTCAGGGTATGCCCGCCCCCCTGTCAAGGGCCCCCACATTGGTTCCTGGACTCACCCATTCCTCTCTTACAGTGGGAGCAGGAGGTGATTGGGGAACATCCTCTCCCTGATCCTTCTGTGGGTAATGAACCCCAAAGTCACTTGTATCACTTCCAGGATCACAGCTATAATTTCCTGGCTACTGCGCAGCTAATCAGTGGGGGGGGACAGTGGGGGGCCAATAGACTTATAAATATAATAGGCTTTTAAAGGGTGATTTGTGGTGAATGTTTGGAGACCATAGATTTCTGTGATTTCCCAGGCGGATGCAGTTCTAAGGATGGACATGTTTGGTTTCTACTTACTCCATGCAGCCCCATCTTTTATATTTCACCAACAAATTGGGGATTTTATTGTGTTTGCACTAAAATCATTTTGTTGTATTTTTTTCCTGAAAATTTGGGTTTGATGAAATAGCCGAGCAAATATTGTGTGCCATAAAAAGTGCGACTGCTGCCTCTTCTTTCTTCAGGGTCTCTGCTTTCAGAGAATAGAGAGCTGATTGGTGGGTTTCCAGTCATTCATAGTAAACAATGGCGGCTGATGCAATCTTTCATGCCGCACAATATTTGCTCGGCTGTTCATCAAATGCGTATTTCCAGGAACAAATACAATGAATCTTAGTGACACCAACACAATATTTCTCCTCATTGTTGGGAAGATAGAAAAGATGATGTGATGAGCAAATAGATACCAAACGTGTCAAAGCTGAAAATTGTGCTGAATGGGGGCCCTGGGAGGGGAGACACAAACCTGAAGCCCAGGAGCCACAAGAAGGTCTGATCAGAAACTACGGTGTCACTGGTCACCTGTAATGGCGGCTAATCTTCTCCGTGTTCAGACGGCGTGCAGCTTACATGGAAAACATACAACCCCCCCCCCCCCCCCCCCTGTCTTCTTGCACTCTTCTTTTAGAACTGCCGAATCTAACCGGCACCTGAACACGCCGAGAAGATGGCCGCCATCACCGGGGACCCGGGACCATCGCTGGACACATGGTTGGATGGTGGCTTTGGAGGATTTACTGCTGGTTCTGCCTGGCAGCTTCACAGATTCATCAACTGTTTACTGTCCTGCACGGCTCTTCACTACTTGTCTGTTCTATAAGATGGGAAGATTGGAAGTGCTGCTGCCTCCTGTCACTTGTTCCACTTTGTAAGGAGGATTTCTGACTGGATCTATAAGTAGAGTGGAGCCGCCCGGCAATATTCTACACTTTACACTGGGTTCAGGCATCATCGCACAAATGCAGTCTCTGACAG